GCAAAAGGCGTCCTTTTGGCACGTCTATACTTCATCGTTATCAGATACCGACAACTGAAATCAATATATTCTGGGATGGAACACAGCTTGTTGTTTCCAGATTGCACGAAAAATTATATACTTGCAACATTGCATGTACGTATAAATGGAATATTCAATTTGTGTTGTGTGTTATTTTATTATTGTACAGTATGTTTTTGTTAGGTTTAGGTATGTTGATGTCAATGGATCAAGCATATATAGCTAATGTAAAATTTTGCTTGTCTGCGTTCTTTAATCTTTTCTTTCAGAACCATGCATACTACTCGCCCAACCACTCGAATTCAGCGTCGAGCTCATCCAATATCACCATGTTCTGTATTATTACGACGCCGCGGCCCAACATCGGCAGCATTTCAATGGCACGAGTAATAATTGTCATTTAACTACCTCGATTCCATCAACTGTTCAATAAATCAGAAATGATTGATGAAATCTCTCCTATCATTGGATACATGTCTAAATGTCCCCTGCCACAAAAATGTTCTAACTCTTGTGGATGCGTTACATATTTTTGAAGTCAAATTTACAAGGGCGTGCTTTTCCATTGATGCTTAATGTGTTAACTGTTAGCATGATAGTATTTTGGTATTTTAACGTTAAATTTTGGTATGTTAAAATCCTTGAATCTGCTAAAAAGTGTTCTGAAACGATAAACAGTATTTTTTTCCCTCACGCTTCACGGTAAAATTTTCAGTGTTTTCACGACTGACGGTAACCGAAATTGAGCAATCACGACTCACGATGTACCCATCAACACCTTCGCCTATTAGCATGAGTTTTGATTGGTCAAGCTTACAACTAAATATGGTCTCAACATAAAGTGCACGTAATTGGTTCCCGGGCCCTTGCTCTTCAATTTGACTATATAGAAGTCAAGTTCTTCTCCATTTAAACTGGGAATTCCCTTTTAGTCTTGTGGTTCCCTAATTTGGTTGTCAATTAAGCTATGAATATGACGTTTTCAATTACAGCGCGTGACTGTTAAAATTGTTTTGTTTAAGTTTCAAATAATATACACGAAAAAATTTCTCAATTCTGATGGGTAAGAGCAGTACAATTTTTTCGAAAGACAGTGCCAAAAAATGAAATTGCAAATTTCATTGACTATTTAGGCTTTCTGGTTGGCTTAAAATATTACAGAATGACAGTTGTATATTTGTTGTTTATTCTGTTGCTGTGTAAATCAAACGACTGAATAAATTTTTTCCATATGACTTATACGCACGTAACTGCATATTTTTTCATTTATATTATTAGTAAGTAATTATAGCATGGATTGTAAAATAACTGGATAGGAAACTTCCTGAAGTCACAGTCTAAACCTAGTTGCGATCTGTGACTGCATGCGTATTGCAAATATACCAAAGTTCTCGGCATTTTTGTTGTTTCGCTATATTTTCCGCTTTAAAAGAGTAATATTGAAGCATAAACTGGTCTAATTTTTTTTTAAAACATGCCTAAACCACGACAAAGTATTCAAAGTAAATGTTTTTCGTCTTTGTTTTGTATTTTTTTACATTTGTAGCTACGAATTAAATTGGCGTCGCCAATTTTAACGAAATTTGCGATGCATTTTTCACTGTTTAGTGCTTGAAATATTTGCTAAAATTAACTGGGAATACTACAATGTTTAGCTGCATTATTGCTAAACATGCCGTTTTTGAGAATTTGGTTTGCAACTAGGTTTCAACATCCAATCACGCCATCAGCCCATTGAAAACATCAGGTCACGTCAGCTAGTTTCCTATAAATCTATTTTATTATCCATGGTAATAGTATGGTTTCTCGTGCAATTGGAAAAAACAAACACTCGTGAGTTTTTCAACGTCTTCAAATTGCACGGACTCGTGCAATTTTGATAGTCTTTGAAAAACTCACTCGTGCATGATTCCAAATTGCACTCGAGAGAATACTATTATTAATACAAAATTGAACCTGAGAGACGGAAATTTCCCGTGTTTCGATACGGGTATATAAACAGGCTTCTCGACCAATCAACGCTCGCGTACTATAAATGTTATATAACAGTTAACAATTATTCGCCGAAGGCGAAGTGATTACCGGTGAATATTCACCAAGACGAAGTCGAGGTGAATATATTCACCGTAATCACTGAGCCTGAGGCGAATAATTGTTTTAGTATAAATTTTTAATGAATAAAAGAAAATATCCAAATATCAGTTTAATTAAAATTCAGAAATAAAACTGTTTTCGGCCGGTTTTACGGTTACTGTTTTAGTGTTGCAGTGTTTCTTGTACATGCACGCTTTCAAAATGGCTTCCTGAGTGACTTTATTGCTTTATTACAAACTTGTTTTTCTCGATTTCTGCTTGGAATATAAACACAATGATGGGATGACTTTTTTACCTAAACAGAATTAAAAAATAGTTTCTATTTAGCATTAATTTGTTCAGGGAATAGCTGAGAAAATTGGTAAAGTGGAATGTAAAACAATTGCTCGACTGCCTCGAAATAACGTTTTAATACACTTTTCACTTAATACACTTTTCACTTTTTCACTTTTCACTTTTCGTTTTAATACACTTTTCAGTGTTTTCACTTTCGAAAAAACAATACATCGCCAGCAACAGGACACCATACTGCACAGTGGAAACGTGACATATAAAAAAAATAGTATATCGTACCAATGAGATACCTATAGGATACAAAACAAAATCATGGTTTTAAAAGAATATCACGGCAAGGTTTTGCCAAACAGTCAGGATAGTTTTTGCTATTTGTTTGAAGTGAATATTTCGCCATTTCGATGTTTTAAATAAGTTTTAAAATATCCGTGAATATGTTTGACACAATAAAATAATAAATGAATCCTACCTTTCAAGTTAAATACAACATTTTGTGCTTTTTTGTGAGGACGATTTTTTCAATATTTTGTCGATTTTGAAACCAAATTTGCCGAATCATTCTTTTTGAGTTTTTGAAAAGCATTATTTACTACAGTAGTCAGGTGGCAAATAATGCGTCAGATTTACTAGTCAACTAGCCAATCAGAACGCGCGAAAGCTCATTTGATATGCATTTGATATGTATATATACTAATTAAAGATAGTATAGTTGTATATTGCCTATACAATGATGATAACATGCATAACTATAGCGCTGTTTTCACTTTTCAAGTACTCATGCAAATCCACGGTTACTCTTCACGTCACGCCATATTGAGAGAAGGCTAACAGAAGAATATCATTAGCTGCTGTTATAACTCATTATCCATATTAGTCATCGTATATGCAAAATATGGTCCTTCGTTTTCACATGCATCTTGTATTTTTGCCAAATTCGCATTGTTCAATTTATGGATAGCTAGCCAGCTAGCCTTCCTAAGGGGCGGACCATTTAATTTTTGAGGGGGGGGGGGAAGATTTCGAAAAAAATTTCCTGCAATCCAAGGAGAAAGAAAAAAAATCATGCAGCATATAATCGAGAAAAAAATCATACAAAAGAGAGCGCTCAAAAAAAATTCCTACATGTAAATCTACTGACGTTTTTCACAAGGCATGAGAAAGTCCGCCAGTATGGCAGCATGCTGCCAGGAAATTTTTTTAATCTCACAGGAAATTTTTAAGAAAAGCAATATATCAAGAATGAAGCTCGAGAAATTTTACAAATCAGCATTAAAGTAACAAACATCACAATTAGAGCATAAATACAACAATCATAACATAAAAATTTGTATCATGTAGCAGTGCTATTTACGACTGTCTGTTATCATGATTCATGATTATGATACATGTGGAAAACAAAGGCGTACTACTAATATTGAATAGTGCATGAATACTGATATGAATTCAGATTTACAATCTGACAACAAAATTCAAATATCGTTTCATAGAATTCCTTCATGTTCCTAATTCTGGTAAACCTATACTTTTCTTAATATTGAGGTAGTATATGACTTAGTACGGTAGTTTAGTATATTTGCACGTCAAGTGAAGATAAATCCTATATGTTGATTGGCCAAATCTTCGTTTCGGCGAATATTCCCCAATAATCACCTCGCCTTCGGCGAATAATTGTTAAATACACGACGCTGTTATTGAATTACAACCAAAATTCAAATTTATAAAAAAAATTGGCAGGAAATTTTTGGTCTGGGAAGCCCGCTGCCAGGAAGAAAAACATTTTATCAAGGCTTGGTTTTTCACTTCAGTATTGTGTCCACAGGCTTGCAAGATTTTGCGTTTTCGAGCAGGCACATTTGCTTAAAAGAACACGGGGTGAACACTGTCAGTGGAAAACATCACAGGGATTCTACCGCCTTTTGAGCCTATAACATACAATAGCCAGTGGCGTTCCCTGGCAAAACTGCTGCCCCCCCCCCTGAGAAAATCTGGGCTTAAGATATGTAAAAGTTTATAAGTTATTTATACATATCTAATATGCATGGCAGAAAAAGTATTATTGAATGGTTGAGTCTGTGTGAGTTTTTTGATAACATAGCTCCAAACTATTAAAGCTTCAAAGGCCCATCTACAGGATGCAAGTTGAACGTACTGTATATGCGATGATTTTAATGCGAAAATGCAGTTTACTAGAGAGTCTAGATTTTAAAAAAATTCTGAAGAGGATGCAACCCGATCCCCAACAAGCTATCTGTATGAACGATTGAAAAGCTACAGAGCTATATTTGGTGTAACGTTGTTGTCTCGGAGGGCAGTTAAAAACCGCACTACTGAAATCTTGTTTTATTACATATTAATCAAAGCTCATTTTGTGATTTCCTCTTGTTTAAAATAAAGGACAGTAAGCGTTCCTTAGCAAAGTTGTTGCACGAATCCATGGCTGAAAAAGGTTCAAATCTTAAACATTTTAAACATTTATCGCCACAAGACCTGGTTAATGTAATGAATATTGGTAATGAACTATATTCAAACTTATCATGTTTAGCACAGTTTTAGCAAAAGTTTAGCAAATAAAAATTTAGAACATTTTTATTGTTTACAGAATTGCCTTCACAACTTACAGTATTTGACACAGATTTTGTTTTAGAGTACAGTGAGAGCTATAGCGGTAACGTAATAGGAGACAGTTCTATTGTAGGGTATCAGTACTGTGTTCCATTTGACAGATCATTTGAGATGCTCCTGGCTGAACACTATTGTGCATTCATTTTAACAATTGACTCCAATGACGAAGGGCTGAGTACTCTGAGGTGCGAAGTTGAACCGATTGTGAACGAACGACCGATGACGAAAGTACACCATCAGACGACCCAAAGGATCTTGAAGCGTTATCTCCCAACCATCTATACCACTGCTACAACCTGGACCCTCTAGACACTCCATCTGGAATGTTTTTGAGAAACTAAAATTGTAGCGTGCGTCGTTGATGACAGGTGTAATGCGATGTTGGCTTCGCGAGTATTTGCCTTCTGTGCAACAAAGACAGAAATGGAACTAGTTGTGGAGAAACTTGGAAGTCAACGATACTGTTTTGGTGCTTGATGAGAAAACACCTTGCAATTCGTGGCCACTTGGTTGTGTTCTCGAAGTATACACCAACAAGAAGGACGGTTTAGTGTGATCGGCGAATATCAAGACATCCACATCAGTTATGGTTCGACCAATCAACAAGATGATCCTGCTGGAAGAAGCTCATAAACGATAAGTTATAAGTAGAAATGGTTTAATTTGCAGATTATAAGCGTTCAATCCTTTGTACTGTGCAGTGTATTTTTTGTAGATGTTATCTCGTAGGTAACCTTTAAAGAGCGTGTATGTAGGCTTAACAAATTCATTAATATTTCACGAGGAAAATACAAAAGAAATGAATGTTTAATCAATGTCAGATCAGCTGCTCATGTTTAATCCAGTACTTAAAACGCTTATCCTACCGTAATAATAGTTCATTATGTTTTAGTTAAAATAATAATGTATAGGCTAGTTAATTTGATTGATATATAGCGTGACGGAAGTAGCTGTACCATAGACTAGAATGAGTTACTGTAGTACAGTCACGACTGTCTTAAGTAAAGAAATTATTGCTACAAGCTATTAAAAGGAAGGATATTGCTGCAAATATATACAGGACGAACTGCTATTGAACTTGAAATCATCGCTCCTCGTTTGGTGCAAGTGTAAACCAAATTCGAACCTACAAAGTACAATGATCTACGATCTACAAATCTATCTGTCTACAGTTGATCCAATCTTCCCCTAACCTACAAGTCCCACATCGTGTTTTCGCTACTTGCAACCTACTACTGCCATACTACGATATGTTGCGTACAAAGGCCCTTGTATTTGTTACTTTTGGAATAAATTGTTGTGAATCATTGTACATTGACTTTGGTAATTTATTGAGTTCGAATAATGAATTCTATCATTTGCAACCCCTTGTGACTCTTGTATTTGGCGACCAAGATTTACAGAAGGAATTTATTTCCCCGAAGAATTCTAAAAATCTGTATACAATAGATTCCATGATGATATCCGCAGGGCCGTTCCTAGCGATATCTGGTGGGGAGAGGGGGGGAATTCAAAAATTTGGCCCCCCTCCCATTCGGGGGCTCTCTCAGAAAAAAATTTTCCGGAAAGCAAAAATGTTTCCCGAAAATGGGGGCGACGAGGGGGGGGGGGAGGTTGACGTTATGTTTCCCGAAAACAAAACGTACCAAAAAGTTTTCAAAACACTAGTTTTGGACCTAAATTTTCCAGAAAATTCCTTAATATTTAACATGTTCCGCAATTCCAGGGCCCCCTCTCCGCAAGTTGGGCCCCTTTTTTTACTTTTCTTTGGGGGGTGTTATGCCCCCCCCCACACACACACCATTAGTTCCCGCCCTGGGTATCCGTTTCCACAAAAGCAGCGTGTAGTATTACTACTGTACTACTGTATTTATTAACAGATTTTTTAAAACCCATCTTCTAAATTTTGGACGTTTTCAGATACAGAATATTCTAGTGCGCGTTTACAGGTACCGTGTAGCTAATTTTCCTTGCTTTTAAAAACTTTCTCCAGGACCAAGTATCTCGCCGGAAGTATCCTAAGCCGCACAAATTGCCAAACATCTATTACCTGTATGTGTACGGTTATGTTTTCTGTGCATATTAGCCCATGTATTAGTACATAATCGTTGTTACATGAAACGCAATAGTTATTGATTAACCGGGTACCCACAACAATAAACAATGAAGAATGAGCTATCGATAAGTGTAATTGTATAGTGTGAGCACAATAGATCAAGAGGGAGTTTTCGACACGGTATAGAAGGGAAGTACATGCATCAGCACAGAATAATAAAATATATAAAAAATATCGAAGCATGGTTATAATATTGTGTCTAAATCGGAACCTGGGAACTTAGTTCCCAGAAATTTTTCTCAGTTGAGAGTTTCGCAGAAAATTTTCCATAAAATATTTCAACATTTTGAGATAACTCTGTTACAAGTTACAACTATTCTACTTTATTTACACTGTACATACTAACATCAGCAGCCTGATTGTTTCTGTGTTGGTGTAATGTACTCAGGTGAATATGATGCTTGTGATGTTACTCTGAGTGTATATCCACACCGGGCAAGCTTGAAAAATATGCCTGACCACGGTGGTCAGGCATATTTTTCAAGCTTGCCCGGTGTGGATATACACTCAGAGTAACGTCACAAGCATCATATTCACCTGAGTACATTACACCAACACAGAAACAATCATGATTATTAGATTACATTGATATCGAAGGAACTAGATTCTGTTCCGAAATATCACATACTCGAACCGACCAGACCGCGTAGTTCAGTTGGCAGAGCATTGGGCTAGCATTCCAAAGGTCGTAGGTTCGATTCCCACCGTGGTCAGGCATATTTTTCAAGCTTGCCCGGTGTGGATATACACTCAGAGTAACATCACCAGCATCAGCAGCCTTTTTAAATATTTAACAGAAATTCATTCTGTTACCCACCCCCGCCATCACAATGAGGTAAAATCATGGTAAATATATGCTCTGCAAAGTCTCCAATAAAATGCAAATTAAATAGTAAACAAATAAAATATGCAATGAAATAAGCTTCAAGTCCCAGTGGAAAAATGCTATTGTTATATAGCTAGCGTGAACACCAAACGTGATTGGCTGATTTGTGGTCACGTGACTTCAGATAAATGCAATGTTTCCCGCCGGGCAACAAGTGAAAAATTGTTGCCCGCCCCGACCGGCCACGTACATAAATAAACAAAATGGCGGCACAACTACGATAATTAGAAACTACGATTTTCCAAGTTTGTGTTCAAATAAAGCCGAATGTAAAAGGGAAGAAAAATACAGAACAGGAAACAGGATATGCTGCCGAAACCGTTTAAGTAGGTTCTTTAATTTTAAACTCGTTGACTCTATACTGTTTTTGCCACGAAAAACAATTGTTGCATATGAATGTTGTTGAAGTTGATTTTTGTTCGTCGCTATATAACAAAACACTTAATGTCTGTTCCCTCGGGAAATAGTTAGTTTTGTTTTCCCTCGAATCTCAATGTTTCCCTCGACTTCGTCTCGGGAAACATTGAGACTCTCGGGAAAACAAAACTAACTATTTCCCTCGAGAGCAGACATTAAGTGTATGATATTACTCCAATGAAAGGAACACAAATTTGAATTAATAGGATTATAAAATATGCATACTGTATGACTGGTCAGACATCAGTCTTGTTAAAATGGTTAAGCTTCTCACTTCTTTTATAGTACTACGGTATTTGCTTGAACAAATTTCAGTATCAATTTATCTAGAATATGTATTGTTCATTATATAGAGTATATATCATTTACTTTAGTTACTGTTGACTGTTTTGGGGTTGTTTCCCCCCATTTAACTTCATTTTACCTGATCAAGTACACTCTGTAGGAAATTATGAACTACTTTTTGTGGATCTTCATGAGTTCATGTGTTCAATTAGGTTGTTTGTTCCTTTACAGGCCATTAGTCTTAGACAATTTCTCATTTCTTTATTTCTCATTTTTTATCGAATTTACTTGCAAATAAAGTGAAAATCACTCTGACTAGCCATTTTGAAAACCACGTGACTGTGTTTGTTTTTGCAACGAATTTAAAGTGTTTATGAAACGGCTGAAAATTTTTTCTGAAATTGTGCTGATTTTATAGTTTAAAGTACGCTGAATATCATGCTGTATTTTATTTTCGCCCCGCGATTTTTTAAAGTGGATTTTTTAAGCTACAAAGTTCAGCAATTCGGCTATTTTTGTCCCGGGGTCTGGACCCGAGGGAAAACAGTGCGTGACGTCACTGGTTGTGCACACATGTTGACATTCTCAATATAAACAGTAAAGAACATGTGTATTATCGCGCTGTATAAAATATTTTATCGTGATTTCTACTCTTTTACTATGTCGCACAGCGACGATTCTCTTAGTTTCTCTAGCTTAGAGTCTGATAACATAACGGAAAGCAATTTAGAAGGAAATATGAACGTAACGAATTGTTTTGAGCCGTATCAAGGGGAACTATTGCCAGTACAGACGACAGCGAATCTTCTGATGAGGAACAGGACGAAGATTACATTTTGCCATCTGTTTTGGAGAAGCGTTTAGAAAAAAATATTCCATTAGCAAATTGGTGAGTTCTACAAACAATACTAAGTTACTTTATTATGATTTTCATGCAATATTTCCCTGATATTTGCCTTATTATTTATTTCTGTTGTAGGTGTTCGTGTGGGAATTGTGCCGATCAAAATCTGGCGAGTGTTCAGAGTACTGTTGCTGCAAAGAGATTGTGGAAGTAACTGGAAAATTTACTTGGATTGGCAAGAATGTTGAATACATCCTTAACCATCCTGACTTCAATGCTATGACAAAAGAGAAGTGAAGTTGGGCCTCTTCTATTTACAAACATGGAACTGATGGAAGCTCCCATGGAATAAAAAATGGCGCAGATAAAAGGTACATATACTTCGGTTGTGCATATTAATTCTGACTAGTAGCGAAAGTAAAACAACTTTACAGGTTCTATAAAGATAAATTTGTATTGTTATAGATTCCTCAGAGCAGTGTCATATCGTCGGCTGTTTGGCTTGATGGGCTGGGAGAACACCAGCCCTTGTCACCATGCATTTACCATCATATAATGACTGCATGTATTTTGTACTGGTGATGCTGGTATATATCTGGAGAAGAGCAAACGGATAATGATAACTGAAGTCACTATTATGTAAATATTTCATTATTATGTAAATATTTCATGACATAAAACCCAAAGAAAAGTTTTATCACCGGATCTGTAATGTGTATTAATGTTTTACATATTTAAAAATCCAGGATTCATAATTAATTGTGTAAACGTTCTCTGGTTAAAAAGATTTATTTATTACTTATTTATTTATTTAGTAATAAATAAATCTTTTTAACCAGAGGACATTTACACAATTAGTTTTACATATTGCCCACTTTGAGATCCCTTGACTGAAATGTAAATCAGGCTTTAAATTCCCAGCAATTCCTAGCTTATGAGGGGTTGGGGGAGGGGGTACACTGACTGATGCATAATTCTGTTCATACTTATTATATTTCAACAATATATACAACAACCCTCTTAAGTATTTACAATATTTACAAACAATGACAATATACAGTAAACAGATCAAGTCTGTGGAGCATCGTGTGGACAATCTGATCGCAGGTGACCTTCATTGGTGCCTTGCACTTGCTACATTGTCTGGCTTTTCTCTTTGGCAGTGGGAGATTTCCTGTTGATTTCCACTTTTCTGCCTCCAATAATGCTGTTTTTTCTGCAACTAAAAATAATTCATCAAATTATTATATAAGTTATATCAAAAGAATAATAATGTAATTTGTTGTCTGCTTTGTATATGATAATATTTGTGTTGGTGTTAACAATTGTTCGCCAAAGGTGAGGTGATTATTGGGGAATATTCGCAGAGACAAAGTTGAGGTGAATATTCCCCGACAATCACCGAGTCTGAGGCTTGTCAATGGAAAAGCTCAACAGCTTAATGGGTTAAAAAAAATTTTTACCGAGACTTTTCTGCATCTGAAGCCGTGTTTACACTACAAGCCTAAGCCTGGCCTAGGTTTGGACTAGATTTTGGTAGTGTCGACTTCGACCGCCACTAGACCACTAGACCATGCACTTCGACCTGGCACTAGACCAAGCAATCTGGGCCACCTTTCCTGATGGGCCCAGATTTCCTGGCCTAGGCCAGGCCGAAGTGCATTTACACCACAAAAATCTAGTCCAAAGGTAGGCCAGGCTTAGGCTTGTAGTGTAAACACAGCTTGAGAATTACCTAACTGGCGCCCAACATGGTGTGTTTACACCAGATACTGTACCTGGCTAAAGCCCTGAGACCAATCAAAATAGATCATTACATACACATAACATGAAGTAGTGACTTTGAAAAAAGTAAATAAACATAGAAATTGGCTTCAATTGACCTGTATTTAAACTATTAACCACTTGAAGGCAAACTCAATTCAACAACACATTCCAAATACTTTTATGTCTTTCATATTGACATCTACATATTAAACTATGAAAATGTAGCATGAGAGCCTTGCCTTACAAAGCTTTTATTTCACGTTGTTCACTTGCCTTTGGTGGCGAACTATTAAATGTCCGAGTGTCAATTCCAAATTTTATATAACAACAAATATTACTATTATACATAGTGTAAACGGGTCTTTATAGTTATCTGTTTTTTGCCGTGAAGAGTATTGAATATTTAGATTATGTCAAGGATGAATATGTAACAGCTTCAAAATGCCGAAAACGAACGATTTATGCATATATTTACCTGTCTTCTTTCACGAGCTGAAATCGCCTGAACTTGTGGCCCTGAAACAACGCAATCTAGACTAGGTATCGCGCCTTTCTTCAGCCATCTCTTAGTCGTGAATTTTTCCGGTTCTTGTGGATTAAAATCAAGCCGTTGTTCAAAATCTGTGACCTTGAAATGTGCTGAGCAAAGCACCGAAGTGCTTGATGGCTGCCATTGCGGACGATGTCTTTGAACAATACAAGCCCATTTTGCTCGGACAGAACTATCGCTAGGGAAGCGATGCATCGAAATTCCTTCTGTTTTCGAATTGTTTTTGCAACTGACTTTTCCAGGTCCACCTGTAACACAATACTTTCCAAGAGATTTCCCTTTCGCTCGGCTGTTTTGAGTCTCGGCCATAACAAATTGACATAAATTCACCTTTGGAATGAACGCGCGAGTACAACCAGTGACGTCACGCCATCAATTTGACCGCGCCGTAAGATGGGACAAACAAAGGTCATAGATGGCAAACTTTGTAGCTTAAAAAACCGACTTTAAAGAATCGCGGGGCGAAAATAAAATACAGCATGATATTCAGCGTACTTTAAACTATAAAATCAGCACAATTTCAGGAAAAAATTTCAGCCGTTTCATAAACACTTTAACTATATGTGATAAAACACTCCTACGCGTGCTTTAAATAGTACATATATATATATATATATATTTATATATATATATATATATATATATATATATATATATATATATATATATATATATATATATATATATATGCCGATGCCAACGTTGCGAATGCATCGGTCAAAATTGAGAAATCATGTTGCTTGAAATAATATATAGACATATTATGCTGTCGTCAATACTTGGTCAAGCACTCAGTAATAGAATATCTTTGAATCTCTCCAGCTATCAAACCGCAAATATTTGCTTAAACTTGACTCCATGTGACTGTCCATGTCGGGAATACACTATTTAGGATGAAATCCAATTTAAATTGTCTCAATAACAGTCGAAATTGTCAAAATAAGTCCAATATGCGACGTGCGATCGCAAAAGTATTTTCTGTTATTTACTTTTTATTTTGCGACACTTAAGCGTGAATAATTTCGCGACAAAATATATTATTTTTAACCGCATCCTTTGACGTCACAGTAGAAAGCTGATGCATCACCTACGTCACGGTAGATTTTGTTTGCATCGATTTTCAGCCATTTTGCATCAGTGAATGCATCGGTCCCGAGTCCTTTTCCGCGTAAAATCTACTGTGACATCATCAAATCTATTGTTTTAGAGCCCTACGTCACGGTAGATTAGTCCGCTGAGCGATGCATCGCATGCAGATTGCGGGCGCTCGCATCAGTTCACTGATGCAAATTTCAAAATCAAAATCTACTGTGACGTAACGAGGCATTCGATTCAAGTCATGGCGGCAAGGATATGCAAACACATATGCAAATGAACAAAGAATGCGAAGAAATATCCCTCGAATATGATGGAGAGCAATTAAGTTACTGTCGAATTAATTACCAAGGTTTGGAATGAATTTGATCTTTCAACTGAGCAGTGAGCACAAGAATTGAAGTATATTTATACTGTGAGAATGTGAGATGCCCACTACGGCCACTAGGGCTCTAAAGTAAGTGGAATTTATGTATATTTTACATTGTAGTACATTGTTAATTGTTCAGTTCAATCAGAATGTAGATTTGTATGTATTAACATAATAATTAAAGTTTGTGTCTATTTGATACTGCTGTTCATACCAGGGGGGGGGGGGGAGAGATTTGTTTGTCTGGAGGCAAACCAGCCCCATTACCAAACTTGACAGCTTGCTTTACTGAGGCAAATTTCATCTCTGTTTACATGGGATTTATATAACCTGTGCCCATGCAGACCTTCATTTTTCTCACAGCTGGCGGGCAAAGAAAAATGAAGACCTGATAAAGTCGCATGTTATTAAATGTTTGTGTCCTACAACTGCCTTTATGGTTGTAACTCTGATTGCCGGCTACTTCTAGCATGAGTATTCATGCCATATTTAATGTATTTTTTTGATATTTTGGTTAGTGCTATATATAATTAAATAATGATAGATTAAATAGTGATTGTAACTATATTTAGCTTGTTGTTAAATTATGTGAAATAATTTGACATTTTGCCTGGCACATTTTGATTGGATACCGGTACTAAAAATAAAACTTTGGTGTGGGTCAAGACTTGCATCAGGCACTGTACAGTATGTAATTACAATGCATAATAATATTGCAGGTTAATTAACCCATTGAGTCGCATTGCACCCTGATGCACCCTACTTTAGTATTTTACTCTGTCTAACGCCAGACGATTTTACTCGTCAAGGGGAGAGCGCTGGCGCTTAATGGGTTAATGAGCTGGATTTCTAATAGTGATGCAATATTGGTTAGAAAACATTACATTTCATTTTGTATGGAAATGAGCTGGCATGCCTCATGACAAGAGTATAATTTCTTTGCATTGCCTGAGTTATTGGGCAATTACTGTACACTGGATATTTTGCAAACAAAGATCATTACCTGGGCGTGCTCGCCTGCCATAGTTTGGTACATATGCTTTGTCGGTGCAAATATAATTTGATATAAGTTGTATATGTCATTCTGTTGACAAATTTTAATCTTAGAATGATAAAATGATGGACGTTATAAATACTGTATATAACTGCATGTAACTGGTGTATATACAGGTTTTAAAAAACTCATTAATAATTCAGGAGCAAAACACAAAGAAAAATCATAAGCGTGTCGTGGTTTTATATGTGATAAAAAATCATGTTAATTTACATAAACTTTAGCTTGGATTTTCTCGGTTTAGGCAAAGTTTATTTAAAAAATTACTTCGCCAATGAACTCGTATAAGATGAGTCGTTTTTTAAGCCATTTAAAGCACTTGTAGTCGTGTTTTATCACATATAAAACACTCCGCTACGCGTCGTGTTTTATATGTGATAAAACACTCCTACGCGTGCTTTAAATAGTACATAATTATGAAATTTGCTCACAAAAGTGGTATATTAGATTTAATTAAATTATTTAATTTGTAGTGCTTAATTCTCCCAATACTATGTTTTGGATAGCCAGCATGGCTCTCTGAGGATTACCATTGATAAGCGTATGGATATATTTGACGAAGATGTGCATTTATATAGTAACACAGGGAAAATATTGATCAATACTACTGCGCAGCCTTTCTACATTGACATCATCTTAAAAGAGTACTATATTAATATATTAGTTGAAAGGCAGGCAAAAGGGGACTGATAGAAGACATCTGATGATTCAATTATGTCATCATATATTGTTTATCATTGTACAGTTTGGTAGGTTCATTTGACAAACAATTTTCAACTAAGTCTATTAAGATAGTTCATTAAATCAATTTACACACAGTATCACTATATATATCTATTAATTTAAAGTTTGGGGTCATGTGTACCTATAGTTATACTTATAGAATTTTAAAACTCAGTGCTTGCTGTGTGTTAGTTTTACTGGTTTCCTGGTGACAGGGCAATATTCTCAGTAATTTAGAGTGTGGGTTAGTCACCATACAAATATGCAATTCACATCAAAGTCATCTATTGCTAGGGGTGAATAAAATTGATATACTGATGCCAACAACACTGTCCACACAGAGTAAGGTTAGCAGCATAAGACAGAGTTGTATATAAATAAGTTTACCCACTAGAGCACAAAATACATTTATGCACCATTCTAATGCTAAAAAATTTTACTCATGGAACATTGCAAATTAGTGGAAATTAATAAGCCTCAGGGAAGGTGGTTAAGAAACGTAATAACACTGTCTTTTGAGTCCAACAATGCAACTAGTGGATCACACTGTATACACCTTTGTTACACGTATGTGTGTATTTGCGTTGTCGTGATTTTTTGCCGAAATGTTTTTCAATAGAAAAGTTAAGGCTACAAGAAGCACAGTAGTAAGTACTGACTATTTTTTAATAGAGACTTATGTACCACTGCTGCTATTACACTTGTACAAGCAAATATTTTTTCTTATATGGAGAAATTATGTTGTTTTTGCGATATAGGTTCAAGTTTTTTACGTGCTTTCCAAAAATGCAGCAAATAATTTTGTGACTCTGATGTATGAATTGGAACGAAAGAGTTTGCTCAGAATGCAGGAAATCGCATTTGCGAGGTTCTAGATTTCAAAATTTCCTCCCCCCCCCACAAATGCGAGTTCTTATGTATGCATCAGTCAGCTCAGGAGCTGGATCCGCCCCTGCAGCTGTATGAAAATGTACGTCAGAACTCGAGGTCAGCCATTGCGTACAAAGGCGGGATATATGAAAGAGACCTGTTAGCTCGCCTTAACATTCCTGCGCTTTATTTACAAGATTATGGTTGTCCCAAGGCTGAAAAGCTCTTCGACCAGCTGGTCTGGCTCGAAACGTGCGAGAAACACACCGAAAACGCCTCCTACCAACACTGCGCCAAAGTGGAGGTCGAAGCATTTGCGATGTGGCTGGAGAAGACGCTGGACGCTTAAAGAAAAAACAAAAAACCGGTTCCTATAGGAACCACCAAAATAACAAAAGAATTGAAACGAATACTGTGATATTTACACTTAGCTCGCCCTAAAAAACTATCTCGCAAACACTTACACACGTAAAAAATTTCCTTATAACTATTCAATTTACCTGCATAAAAATTCCCCTGCAAATAATTCACCTACATGAAAAAAATTATACACAATTTCGAACCGCTCATATTCTTTCATAGATTTGGTGGCTCTTAAAAGAGCCGTTTTTTTTCTTCTGTTTTTTTCTTTATTCTTTTTTCTTCACTGCCGATTCTGCCCCCGCAAAATCTCCTCCAGAGCAATCGTGTCCTCTAGAAACGCCTAAGGATGGTCGCGGTACCTCGTTAGCATTTCAAACATGGCCACAGCTTCAAAATTTACGTCCATCATAGCCCCATACTTCTCTCTTCCTCCTGCTCCCTGCGCCTCGCCCGATACCGCTTATGCCTCTCATTATGCCTTTCACGTCTATCCATATCTGTCTTTTTCCGCTCTTGCTTTCTTTCGCTCTTGCTTTCCCGCTCGTCGCCTCAGCTCTTCGCTTCTGCCCCAAAACGTCTCGTCACACATATATATATGTACGCCGTCGTGGCGCTAAAAGTGCACAAAGTCCGCGCTGGCTTCCAAGATCAAGGTTCAGGTCCAACTAAATATAATCTACCAACTAAATATAATCTACCAACCATAGACTTACCAGTACCTGCTGAAATTCCTGTGTCAGATCAATTTCATTTCCATCCGGTTTCATGTAGTGATGTACAGCAGATCACCATGTCTTTTTCCTCAAATAAGGCACCGGGATTAGATAAAGTCCCAATGAGTATTATCAAAGATGCCTTACCTTGTATCCTCGCTGCGTTAACAGATATTGTTAATTGTTCATTGCTTACGTCCGAATATCCAACATTATGGAAGATGGCAGAAGTTGTTCCCCTCTTAAAAGATGGGGATTGTGAGATCGCAGACAATAGTCGTCCTGTGTCTTTGCTAATTGCAGTATCAAAGATTTGTGAACGAGTTGTATTGAATCAATTGACTGACTATATGTCACAAAGGAAAAGATATACTGAACACCAAAGTGGCAATCGAAAATTACATTCTACAGAAACATTAAACATTTTTATAACAGATCAAATCTTGCAGTCTATGGATCGTAAAGAAGTTACGGCCTTAGTTTTAATAGACTTATCCAAAGCATTTGATAGCATAGATCATTCAATTCTACTAGTGAAACTTCAAACCATTGGTGTGTCTAATTCAGTGTTGGCATGGTTTAAAAGTTATCTATCGGGACGAAGCCAAATAGCACGTATTGGGTCGACATTGTCGGAAACATGTATTATAACTCGAGGGGTACCTCAAGGATCTATTCTTGGGCCGGCATTATTTAACATATATATTAATGACCTACCCAATGTTCCAAAAGAGTCCTCTTTGGAATCTTATGTGGATGATTCGAAAATCTATCTGGCATTTCCAATTCAGAATGTTGAAACTGCTGTGCTTAAACTTACACAAGATATGGAAAGAATTACCGCATGGTGCTGTATAAATAGTCTGCTAGTGAATCCAAAGAAAACGAAACTTCTATTACTGGGTACAAGTCAAATGCTGAAAAAACTCTCTGGCACAGATTTCCCTATAACTGTTCTTGGTGAGAAAATAATCCCACTTCAGACTGTTAAAGATTTGGGAATGACTTTGGATTCAAGTTTGACTTACGAGAAACATATTGTCGATATCGTCTCAAAATGTATCACAGAATTATGCCAAATCAACAGAGTCAAGCATATTTTGGACAAACACACTTTATCCCTTATTATAAATGCATTGGTCTTCAGTAAAATGTATTACTGCTCCTCTGTTTGGTCGAACACCTCGAAAAAGAACATATCAAAACTCCAAAGCGTGCAAAACTTCGCGGCCGGCACGCGTTATTACTGGAATTAGAAAATATGACCATGTGACGCCTATTCTTCAGCAGTTAGCTTGGCTTCCAGTTGAGTGTATGTTAAAACTCAGGGATGCGGTTATGACATTTAAGTGCATGAAAGGGTTAGCTCCGCCATACTTGTGTGACAAATTCGAAATGAGATTAAAGATCCACAGTGTTAACACCAGAAATAAGGATAAGTTAAACATTCCACTGTATAATTCGGCTTCTGGACAGCGAACGTTTCATTATCGCGCAGTGTCTATTTGGAATGAGCTCCCAAATCATATTAAAGACATTGACACTTTGGACCGGTTTAAACTAGAATATAAATGTCATTTATTGCATGGATTTTTAGAAAGTAGTTCAGTAATAGTTTTAGACAATTTGGGCTTGTTTAAATTAGCATATAAACGTTTTTACTGTATGGATTTTATTAGGAAGTAGTTAACATTTTTAAAGTGACATTACTAATAATTATAAATTCTAATCTAGTTGTGTTTGT